CCTTGCAGTCTCCGTCACTGAAGCAAGCAAGCCTCATGTTCAGTTTAAGCTTCCTGGCTGCCGGCCGCCATCTTGGCTGACAGTTAATTTGCATATCTCCCTGATTAGCCAATGGGAAGGGTAGTGGTTGTATGCCAATTACCATGTTTCTCTTTTATTAGATAAGGATTGTACGAACGACTAATTATTTTCTTTTAAGAATTCTGTAAATAATTGGGATTTGGCACTAGTATTAAATGGGATGTGAAATACTTTATGAATCACAAGTGTTATTTCTAATTCTTCTGAAGTGAATGATGGTGATTAGTGGCATGGACCAACAGGACTGGCTTTTCAAGATATGGCTAAGCAACACAAGACAAGAGTATAGCCTAAGATATAGTCACTTACAAAATTTTAGCACGAAAAGACTTTAACTTCTGCTTGCGTTTAAAAGAAAAGTGGATGCTTAGCTTACTTCCACCAAATGACCCTTCTGTACTCCTTCATTCTCTCTGTATTCAGGGACCTTGAATTTTAAACTAAGAAAAAAACCCAGATTTTTCCCACCTTCCCTATGCACATCTCTGTCTTTTGCTTGCATAACCCCAGATTGACATTTCTAGGTAAAATTGCTTTCTATGTTACTGCAATTGTCTACCTATCTATGAATCCTTGCTTGTATATGAAAATAGCTCTCTATCAAATTTCTCAGAATTAAACATTATCCACCTCAATAGTTTGTAGCTCATTTTCCAGTTTAATTTTATATTCTTCTCCGACCCAAATAACTTTAAAATACTTGGAAAAATATCACAGTTTTATAAAAAGTGTATTATGGATTCTTCACAGAGACAAAAACTATGTCACATAATTTTAATTTATCGCATACAAACACAAACATATTATCTATGCCAAGAGAAGAGTCTGAAAGGAAATACAACCAAAGTGTATTTGGCTTATAGGGTGGTCTTTCTTTTTATTTTTTCTTCTTTTTAAATTTTTATTTATTTACTAGAGCCTGTGTGTGCACTGGTGGGGTCCCTTGGCCTGGCCTTTGCCTCTTGCAATCTGGGGCCCTTCAGGGGATGTTGGAGAGCTGGTTTTGGCCCGATCCATACAGACCAGGCCGAGGGACCACACCAGTGCATGAATCTGTGCACCGGGGCTCTAGTATGCATATAAGATCTTTGATTAATTTCTTTCTGCCCTCCCTGCATCCCTTTCCCTCTGAGATTCATCAGGCTGTCCCATGTTTCCATGCCTGTGGTTTCTGCTCCTGCGTTGAGTCTCTGCCCCTTGGTGGTCAGTGTGCATCATACCTACTGCATGGCCAGTTGGCCGGTCGCTTAGGCTTTTATATATATAAATTTTAGAGAGAGAGGAAAGAGAGAGAGAGAGAGAGAGATCAATTTGTTGTTCCACTTATTTAGGCATTCATTGATTGATTCTCGTATGTGCCCTGACTAGGGACTGTACTCACCACCTTGACATATCGGGATGATGTACTAACGGACTGAGCTAACCAGCCAGGGCTATTTTCTTTTTTGTTTCTGAAGTTTTTGATTGAACATCAAAAGACACTTAATAATTTCTTTAATTTCATAAATAGATCTCGGCAATATCTAGAAGAGAACTATTAATTCTTGCCTAAAACCATAAAATTCAAAATAGTCCACGTTTGAGTAGTAAGGACCTAACATGTAGCCTACAGGTCTGGCCTGGTTCAATTTCTTCCTGAGCTTTGTTATTTTATGGTTCATTTGCATCTCTACAAGAAGGAAGGAGGTAAAGGAGATGCCACTCAAATTAATATCATTGGTACTTTACAGAAAACTCATAGGAAGTTATTTCTTAGGGAGAAAGCATAAAATATTAACCCAAAGAAATATTTCAAATTATTTTATTAACTTTACATAAAAAGTTGTATCTGGTACCACTAGGCTTCATTTATCAATATTACATACCTATAGCATAAAGTGTTTCCTCCTCAAGTTTTTTTGGAATTTTCATGAACTTAAAAATTTTTGAGTTGGAAAAAATCTCAGAAGTCATTTATTTAGTTTAATACTTACACAGAGAAGTAAAAAAAATTTTATACTATCCCCAATATGTAATCATTCAGTCTCTTCTTGAATACTTCCAATAATGGAAAATTCACTTCCTCATAACAAGAATTCTGAGGTAAATAAAAAGATGCAATGGATGTTAATGGAGGAGCACAAACATCTGGTGGGTGGATCAGAAGTAACGTGATGGGCAAAGAATATGTGAAATGGGCCTTGAAAGACTGATGATATTTTATAAGTAAAGTAAATGAGAGGGAATAGCATGCGAAAAGGCATGAAGGCACTTTTAGGAAGCAAGATTGTTACTCTGTTTGGTAGGAGTTTAAAATATTTGTAGGGGGCAGTGGGAGTAGAAGCTGTTGGGTTAGAAGAATCATCTGAGCCCAGCTGGTGCTGCTCAGTGGTTGGATTACCAGTCAGGGCACTTGCCTGGGTTGTGGGCTCAATTCCATATCTCATCATTGATATTTCTGTCTCTCCCTCCCTCTCTGAAATCAATAAAAAAATATTTTTAAAAAAGAGTCTACAGGTTCATAGATACTAGGCAATGAGAAAACAAGGATTTAGGCCAGAGCAGTACCATGATCATACAGGTTACATTACATCATCTGGCTGTTAATGGCAGAAAGAATAATTTCTTCTGTTGTTTACCTCACAGTTGGAACAACTGACGTTTTGTCTATAACATATTTGATTGAATATCTGCACTTCTTGTCAACATTGTAAGAACCCATCTGTGGGAGCATAATGATGAACAGAACATTGTTTCGACCTCAACAAGTAACACTGTTGTGGGAGAAGTTGACTTAACTGTAAAAATTGAGAAAGAACAAAATAAGTTCTAAATACTAATAGATGGTGAGTTCAATGGAAAGGATAATTAATTTGAATGACATGATCTGGGAAAACTCCACGTAAAAAGTGGCATTTTAACTCATCCTTGAAAGATATGTAGAGTCTGAAGGGCAAGTAAAATGAGGGGAAAACCATTCCAAGTTGTAGGTACAGTATAAAGAGACGTCTCCAAAGCCATGACTGCGTGTATGAGCTCCATGTTATTTTATGAGACAGTCAGGTGTAGCTACAGGAGGCAGCCC